AGAGAGGAAGAGAGAAACAGCAATGTGTGAGAGATACATCGATCAGTTGCCTCTCATACACCCCCAACTGGGGACCTGACCCGCAACCCAGGCATGTGCCCTGACTGGGAATCAAACCATCATCCTCGTGGTTCACAGACCGGCACTCAGTCTGCTGAGCCACACCAGCCAGGGTTAATAATTCTTTATTTGATTTTGTCTACCCGTTTGATAATCTCATACATTCTTTTCTTCAATTCTAAAATTTCCACTTGATTACTTTTAAAGCTTCTGGTTTTTGGTTAAATTCCTCATATTGTCATCTATTTTGTTCATGTTTTTGTTCGTATCTGAATTTATTAATCACAGTTAACTAAATTGTTTGTTAATCACAATATCTGGATCTTTTTTGCATCTGCTTCTTTTGCATGTTTCTACTCTTAATCATTAATTATATATTTTTCTTGCCACTTTGCTTGTCTAATATTTTCATAGTATTTTGGACACAGTGTATAATATAATCATAAGGCCTCTTTCCAGATGGTAGTATTTTCTACTGGAGCTGTCCAACCCCTACATTTTTTTTTTTTTTTTTTCCTTTTACATGAATAGGATGAGAGCCAGACCACAGCGATCCAATCAGGGACAAAGTTCTTTGGGAATAAGCAGTTTGCGTAAAACTCAGTCTATGTTTAGATTCTGTTACAGCATTCCTGGACTTTTGATTGAGAGACTGTTGGGTATGTGCCTTGAAAAACTGTAGGAAATCAAATTCTGCCCTTCAGAGATTACTAATTTAATTTTTGTGGTTCGAGAAAAACCCTTGGCATGATTCAAGTGCTTTTGAATTTGTTGAGATTTGTTTTACAGCTAATAATATGATCTATCTTGGTGAATGCTCCATGTGCATTTGAAAGGAAATGTGAACTCTTCTCTTGCTGGGCAGTGTTTTTTAGCTTAGTTAGGCCAAGTTGGTGGTAATGTCAATGTCGTTTACATTCATTGTGATTTTCATTTGCTTATCCTAGCTATTACTAAGACAAGACTGTTTAGATCTTCAAGTTTAATTGTGATTTGTCTATTTCACCTTAGGCTCTATCAATGTTTGCTTCATGTATGTGATACTCTGTTGTTGGGTGCACAAATACTTAATGTTATATAATCTTCATAATTTAGTTCCTTTTTCTTAATGCAGTACCCTTCTTTTCTGGTTCTGAAATCTACTTTGCCTGATATTACTATAACCACAGTGGCTTCCTTTTGATTGATATTTATACAGTACATATTTCCCCATCCTTTTACACTTAATCTGTGGTTTTATATTTAAAGTGAAATTTGCTGTAGATGCTACATTGTTGGGTTTTTACTTTTTATTCAATATGAATATCTCTACCTTTTAATTGGGATATTTAGACCAGTTACATTTAATGTATTAATAATATTGGATTTGGATATACCATCTTACTATATATTTTATGTTTTTTATCCTTTGTTTTTTGTCCTGTTATTCCCCTATCTCTACTGTTTTGGGATTGAGTAGTTTTCTGTTACTCTGTTTTAATTCCAACTTTGCTAATTAGTTATACCTCTTTTAAAACTCTTTAAGTTTTACTTCAGTGTTTAGAATATACATTTTAATATTTTTGCAGTCTATGATTAAATATTGTGCCAAGTATTTATTATGTAATAACCTTATAGTATATTTTAATTTTCTTCCTCTAATCATTTGTATTATTGTGGTTATATGTTTCATTTCTTCATATGTAATAAACCCCCAAATATATTTAACTATTTATGCTTTAGCATATAACATCTTTTAAAATTATTAATATAATAAATAATGTTTAAATTTGGGTTTGGTGTTTAGTAAAAGTGAAATCTCATCTCTTCTCATTTATTTTTATTTGAGGTGTCATTGACAAAGTTAGGCATTTTTCCTTAAAGAACACATGACCCTTCTTTTCCGTGAAACATTTGTTTTGTGAGTTAAGAAATACTCCAATCCAATGAGAATTTAGTGGTTAAATTATTTTAGAAAATGCTGTATATTTTAGTTTTCTTTCTAGGAATTTCACATGTATATTAGCACTTGAAAGAGGTTGTGCAGTCAATTAAGGTTATTTAATTTGTTTAAACCGAGATTGGCAAGCCACATTTTACCCTAAAAAGCTTTTTTTCTAGCTTTTTATAAATATTTAGTCTTCTATAGAACATATTTTGAAAATTAATGTTTTAGAATCTATAAAACATTTTTTATATTGTTCCTAAGTTAAGAAAGGCTGAACAATTTATCATATTTTATTCAATCATCCTTTAATATACATATATTCTTAGAAGTAAATTGAATGGCTACCACGTGCCAGACATTGTAATTTATACAAATAATAGTGAAGTTGATTTCTGAATACAAATTTTCTGGATTCAAACTCAATACTCTTTCTACTATGCTCTCTGTATGGTACTATTTATATGATTAGTACAATAGAAATGTATTTATGTAATACCAATTATTTCTAAGACAATATAACATGAAATGTAAAATCCAAACCTAGCTTTTGTTTTTTCCCGGGATCTTGAGTAAATTTCCTGTTCCACAGAGCAGTTTTCTATATCTGCAATCCTAGATGTACCACAAAATAGCCTCTAGGTGTTATTCCATAAAAGATGAGAGTCTGACATGTATCTTAAAATAGAGGCAGGTATGTGGTTTTATTTTCTTTTTAATAGGCTTACTTCGCTTTATTTATTTGTATTCAAGCATTACATGGTGGCCATGTAGTCTCTCGTGTCTGGCTTCCTTTACTCCACACAATATCTTTGAGATTTATTCAAGTTGCTACCTTACATTTTAATGTCAGTAGGACTTCAGTTTCTCAGTCTATGCAATGAAAGGGGTTGGGCCAGATGAACTCTGAAGGACTTTTGAGTTGTGACAATAAGTGAGACACTCTTTCCACTAATTTGCAAGAATGAAAATGCAGGAATTCTGACCTGTATCAGTTGCCATGATACCATGACAATATTGGGAAAGGCAATTTTGAATGTGTAATCCAGTGAGAGCATTGACATTGTATGTCTGGGCCGGAAACAATTTTATGCACCTGTGCTTTGTAAGCGACAAGCCTGCGTTCTGTCTCCAGATGCCCTCACTGATGTCTGCCTCTCATAGGCGGCCTTCTTCCTTCATGAATTACTAACTCAGGTTGCCCACATTACAATTTAAAAAGCCATTGATAAACAGTCTTGAAATAGGACTAGTGAAAAGCACCACACCATGCGTGTGGTGTTTGAGGAGTTCATGGTATTAGGAAAACGCACATTCAAATCTCCTATGTGACCTTGGGCTTCACATCTACATGTGGGACCTTGGGCAAGTCAGTCTTAAACTCTCCAAGGCTGACCTGGGAGTGGAGAGGATGATAGCTACCTCACAGCGTTGTTATGAAGAACCAAACAAGATAATGCATGCAGAGTACTCAGAGTGCCCGGAATACGGGCAGCGCTTCATCACGTATAGCCGTTCCTGCTGTTGCGTCTTCTCAGCAGTGTGTCATCCAGTGGCCCTGCAACTGCAGTGCCTCACTGAGGTTGCCTTTCTCTGCCAGTCCTGTTTGTTTGCATTTGCTGGGACGAAGGTGGGTAGAAGCAGTGAGTAGTGAATAGCAGTGAGCACTGAATGTTTAATCAGTCCCATGTGAAGGGAAGCTTTCAACAGTGAATGGAGTGGGGCGGTTCACTGAGAAGAACAAGCAGTGGTCTGAGGGATGGCAAACGGGTTCTAACAACTTCATTAGTCATAAAACACTTCATTATCTGACTTTAGTGGTAACTAAATCCCTTTGGAAAAAACAAAATAGTTAATGATTTAAAGTCTGTGTTTTTCGTCGAAGTCTTGTTGTGCCATTTACTCTCAAATTCCTCAAACTCTTCGAGAGATATTTCCTCATGTGTGAAAGCAGTATAATGTGCAAAGGAAGAAAAGGGCTGGGTCAGATGAGTTGTGTTTGAATCCCAGTGTCGTCATTAACACTATCTGTGAAATATCAAACAAGTTACTGTCTCTGCTCTTCGGCTTTCTGATCTGTAAAATGGGTTGTTAGTTGTTACGGAGATGGGCTAACATAAGAACATTTTGATAGTGCCTGGCACAGAATAGGAAGTCAACAAATGTTAGCTCTTAGTTACAAATCCGCATAATGATGTGGTACTTAAATGACTGACACAGATTTTAATGATAATTCAAATAAACATTATAGATTATAAAATGAAGGACTGGAAATATGATATTATTAGAAGATTTGGGAAAAAATACAAATCTTCAGCACCAAATTAATGACTTGATTACTTTTTAAATGGAAGTATACAAATAAGTAAGTGGAAGTTGTTATATTTATGGTTTATAAGATCTATGTAAAGGAATACTCTTATTTTTGCTCTGAAATAGGGAAAACCAAGGGGAAATTTTCAAGCCAGGCAATAAATAATAATAATGATGTTACTGATAATAACAATAACAATAATCATTAAATACTTTTTCACGGAATAAAATCTGAGAAAGAATGCAGAGTTCATTCTCAGATGAGGTCTCCACTCTATGGAGCATATATTCTAATGGGAAAGACAACAAGTAGAGAAGTAACAGTTTAATAGCAAGAGAATTCCAGGCAGTGGGTGTTCTACACGGAAAATAAAATACATCTTATTATGAAAATGACTGGAATTGGGGATGCAATAGATGGAAGGTCTGCTCTAGATTTGGTTGTAAAGAAAGACCTAGCTGAAACAAATATTCAAGTTGAGCCCTGTATAGGAGTCAGCCAGTCACAAATCTAGGAGAGGGACCTAGATGAAGTGAAATCCCTAAGATCCCAAACGTATGAAATGGCAGAGCCTGAGTTCAAACTCAGTTCGTTTTGGCTTTAAAATCCTTACTCTTTCTACAATGGAGGAATAAGAAGACATTTATAAGCCAGGATGTCATCAAGGTCAAAGGACTCATAGGCATACATATATTCCAACAGGTAAGCCATAGCCATATTACGTGGACTTTGAAAAGCAGAGATGAGTAAGACCCTCTTGATTCTGTGGCTGGGAGGAGTCATCAGAAGATTTTTGTGGATGGAAATCACAAGGTAAGATTGATTTTAATTTTTTTTTAAACTAAGTTAAGACTTTATTTTTAGAGTAGTTTTAGGTACACAGCAAAAAGGGATTTCTCATATACCCCCCGCCAACATCCACACACATAGCCTTTCCCATTATTAACATCTTCCACCAGACTGGTACATTTGTTACAGTTGATGAACCTACATAATAATCACCCAAATTCCATAGTTTACATTATGGTTCACTGTTTGTGTTGTACCTCCTATGAGCTTGCACAAATGGTTAATAACACGTATTCATCATTATGGTATTACACAAATTATATTCACTGCCCTAAAAATCCCCCGTGCTCTGATTATTTGACCTAATCTCATCCCCTGCCTCCCGGCAACCACTGATCTTTTGACTGTCTTCATAGTTTTGTCTTTTGAGAATGGCATGTAATTAGAATCTCACAGTATCTAGCCTTTTCATGTTGGCTTCTTTCATTTAGAAATGTGCATTAAATTTTCCTCCACATCTATTTATGACTCCGTAGCTCACTTCTTTTTACACTGAATAATGTTCCATTGTCTGGATGTACCATGATTTATTGGCCCGTTCACCTACTGAAGGTCATCTTGGTTGCCTCCAAGTTTTGGCAATTTTATGAATAAAGCTGCTGCTGTGTGCAGGTTTTTTTGTGGAAATAAGTTTTCAACTCCTTTGGGTAAATATCCGAGAGTGATAGTGCTGGATTGTATAATAAGATTAGTTTTGTAAAAACCTGCCAAACTGTTTTCTGAAGTGGCTGTGCTGTTCTTCATTCTCACCAGCAATGAATGAGAGTTTCTGTTGCACCACATTCTTACCAGCATTTGGGGCTGACAGTGTTCTGGTTTTTGTCCTCTCTATGGGAATGTAATGGTGTTTCATTGTTGTTTTAATTTGAATTTTTCAGATGAAATATGATGTGGTGCATCTTTTCAAATGCTTATTTGCCATCTGTGTATATTCTTTGGTGAGGTATCTGTTAAGGTATTTGGCCCTTAAGCTCTTTTTAAATCAAGTTATTTTCTGATTGTTGACTTTTAAAGAGTTCTTTGTTCTTTATCAGATAGCATTTGCAAATATTTCTCCTGGTCTGTGTTCTGTCTTCTCACTCCCTTGACAGTGGGTTTCTTTGGTTTTTGTTTTTTTTTTTTTTTTCCTCCCAGAGGAGAGGTTTTTAATTTTAATGAACTCCAGATTACTGGAACTCCAGATTACTGGTTATTTCTTTCTTAGATCATGCCTTTTGTGTTGTATCTAAAAAGTCATCACAGTACCCAAAGTCATATAGTTTTCCTACTGTGTTATCTTCTAGGGCTTTATAGTTTTGCATTTTACCTTTAGGTCTATGATCCATTTTGAGTTACTTTTTGTGACTTTGTGAAGTGAGTCAAGTCAGTGTCTAGATTTTTATTTTTTTATTTTTTGCTTGTGCCTGTTCAGTTGTTGTAATACCATTTATTTAAAAGACTATCTTTGGCCCTCTGTATTGCCTTTACTCCTTTGTCAAAGATCATTTGATTCTCTTTATGGGGGTCTATATCTGGGATTTCTGCTCCATTGATTATTTATCTCTTCTTTTGCCAGTGCCACATTGCCTTGATTACTGTAAGTCTTGAAATCAGGTAACATCACTCCTCCAACTTTGTTTTACTCCTTCTCCATACATTGGCTATTCTGGGTTATTTGCCTCTTCATGTAAACTTAAGAATCAGTTTTTTGATATCCACAAAATAACTGACTAGGATTTGGATTGGGGTTGCGCTGAATCTATAGATCAAGTTGAAAAAAACTCACAACTTGATAATATTTTTTTCTATCCATTGACATGGTCTATCTTTTTACTTATTTAATTCTGTGATTTCATTCATCATAGTTTTTTTGTAGATTTTCCTCGTATAAGTTGTGTACATATTTTGTTATATATACACCTAAGTATTTTATTTTTGTGGGTGTTAATGTAAATGGTATTATGTTTTTCATTTTAATTCCATATTTCATTGCTTATTAGTTCCAGGAGCTTTATTATTGATTCTTATGAAGTCTATATCATGTCATCTGTGAACAAAGAGAGTTTTATATTTTTCTTCAAAATCTATATATCTTAATTTTTAATGGAACCAATAATAGTTACCATTTATTGAGTACCTACTAAATCCTAGAAATTTTCAAATATTATCTAATTAATTTTCATAATAACTGCGAAATAGTTTAATTTCCACCAAAGCTCAGAAGTTTTAAGGAATTTTCTGATGCTTTCATGACTGGTAATGGTAGATCCAGGACCCAGAACTTGGTATGTCTAATTTTAAAGCCCATGTTTTTCACTCACCATACTTCTGTGCTTGTAAAGCGTTATAGGAATGTAGATCAAACAACACTTTGCAGGACTTGAGATGGTTGGAGGCATCAAATGTAGTAATTAAGGTGCAAGTGTTTTATAATGTCTGGGACCAACATTGATGACAGGAACTATTCTGCATGGACCAAGGGACATTCATAAGTGTAAACACATTCAAGGTGTTTAAACTTTTCAAATGTTGGGAGAATAAAAAATGAAGTTTCCCTTATCAGAAGTATTCACTGTCTTTAAGAATCCTATCATGCGTTGTGTAAAGAAAAGTGAATGCATTGACTTTATTCTGTTAGATACATAGCTATTGAAACAACAACAACAAAAACCTTCACAATTTAAGCATTAAAATAATGTGTCCAATAGGTTATCAAGTCAATCTGTTAAGGTCACAGGAAAAAGCCAAGTGGACAGGGAAGGCTCCTTGTAGCCACTGGGACTCTCCTCTACCTTTTTTTAAGGTAGTGGACAGATTCCCTGATTGATGTTCTCTTCCCATAACACTACATCTTAAAAGTTAGGGGAGAAATGAAGAATCAGCTAATCCTACTTCCTCATTTCACAGATGTGACAACTAAGGCCCAGAGAGGGCAATTTTCCTAGAATCTAGCTTTTTTGATGATGAAAGAAGTGCTCAATTTTATTTTTCCTTTTTAAATTAAATTTATTGGGGTGACATTGGTAAATAAAATTGTATAGGTTTCAAGTGCGCAGTGAGTGGGTGTTTGCAAAGCTGTGGTGTGGGAAAAGCACAGGGGACTGGGAGTTAGGATGCGGAATGAGCTCTGGCCTTGCTACCCTGTAGCTATTGGTCTTCAAGTCAATGGCTTCCCATCATCGGGCCTTATTGATAAAGTGAAGATATTTGAATATACTAAAATATACCAAGGCTCATTTCCGTTCAAAGACAATGATAATTTTGTGACTTTTCATAACTATACACCTAGTACTTTGGGTACTGAACTCTCAAAGAGTATATACCCAAGAGGGTTGAGTGTGTTTTCTTGTTAGGGCCTTGTCTGACAGGTTTTCCTTTGTTTTTTTTTACCAACCCTTTCCAAAGAAGCTCATCCCTATATTTACCCTCACTGCTTAATTCCATGAGAAACGGGAGGAAAAGTGTGCTCAGGCAAAGGCATCTATTTTGCCTTAAGATGCTAATCATTTTTCCCCCTCTGGAGAGGAGATGTAGAGCCAAGCGGTTTTTGTTATGCAGACACTTTTGCCGAGCTCACAAATGTAGGTCAAGTGGGCCAGGAATGAAGGTTGAACTTCCATGGAAATCACCGAGCCCAGTTCTCTCCACTCGCCTTCCTTCCCAGAAGTCAGAGGATAGTCCGCATTTCCACCATAAGTAGGCTGCCATTTTTCCATTGCGTCACAACTCTAAGGTGAGATTACACTAACTCCCAAGAGTTGTTTTCAGAGCACACCAGTTAATTAGGCGACAGGACAACAGGGTGGAGTGATACTTTATTCTCCTGGATGTCTCCACACCCACAGAAGATTTGGCCTAGTGCCACCGCCAGCCACCCTCAGAGCAGTGGCATCTTACAATGCAACCACGCCCAGATGACAATAAATTGTATGTTTTTAAGGACTAACTTTAATGAAAAATTACACACATTAATTAACCTAGGGACAAGAGAAGAAAACGTGTCAGCTCTTCCCTCCCTCATTCCCTACCCCCACCCCATTTTTTTTCCCTTGGAATTTTGAGATGTAATGAGCTAGCCTTGTAAGTGAAAATACCTGATAAAGAGATAGTTTGAGGCACACAATACCAGTCTGGACCAAGATCAGTGACTGGCCTTTGTTTGGCAGCTTATAGCTCATAGAGTACTTTCACCTATATTGCTTAATTATATCTTCACAACAAAACTGACATGTAGATGACAACATTTTTATATTTTATAAATGAGAAAATAGGCTCAGAAATGTAAATAAACATGTCTAACATCACTCTGATAAAAGGGAGGACCCAGTTTTTTAACTCCAAATCTCATTTTTTTTTTTTACTCTTTTTCTGCTGTTTTACTGTTTTACTGCTGTAAGCTCTTCCCTAAGTGACTTAACGGTCGAATGTTCTGGTCAAAAGACTCATCAATTAATTCACTATATATTGAGTGCCGCTATGCTCCAGATAGTGCTGCCTTTGAAAAAAATTCTTTTTTAAATTATTTAATAGACTAGATTTTTAGAGCAGTTTTAATTCATGGCAAAACTCACAGGAAGGTACGGAGATTTCCTTTAGAACCTCTGCCCCCACACAGACATGGCCTTCCCCATCATCAACATCCCCCACCACAGTGGTTCTTTCATTAAAACTGATGACCCTACACTGCCACATCAGTTATCACCCAGAGTTCATAGTTTACACTAGGGTTCACTTTTGCTGTTGTACATTCAATTGCTCTAGACAAATATACAGTGACATGTATCCTTCATTGTATCATACAGAGTAATTTCACTGCCTTAAAAATTTTCTCTGTGAAGGCAATATTATGACATTGGTTGATATACTCAATTAGTAGAGTTTAACGGGTCTACCTTTTTCTTGTCCCCTTAGTGCCTTTTCCAATGGGCCTCACCTCGTGAGAATTTAGAAATTTAATCTGTATCCACAGTCTTGCTTCAGCTAAA